TAGTACGGAGTACACAGTATAAGATCTTCCAGTCGCATGGGTGCCCTTGTGACTTCCTGATGTATTCTTGCTATGTTATAGACAACCTTGTCATGGACTGCATTACTAAGATATATATTAGGCTAGACTGGTTTGTTCCAGTGTGTATCGTCTTAACCAATCCAACTGATACAGAGACACACCACAATCAGTTGCCCTCTCACTACTAGTAGGATGATAGTATCCTCGGGCAGCCTTGCATATGCACAGTACTTTATTTATGCTTGACTTGTCAGCTTTTACGATTGAATTCATGCAAAGAGCCCTATTTCTATCTGGCGCGCACACACACACACACACACACACACACACACACACACACACACAAAGTACCCGTGTGCCCCCCCGTCAAGGCCCTAAACTATGTATCTGACTAGACCTAAGAAAACCCCTAGACAACTCAGCACAGAGCCATCGTAAGGCTCATAGTAGACAAACCAATCGGCCAATTATACGTTTGGCTTCTCAGAATGGTGTGTCCTCGGCAGTATGAGTAGCAGGCTATGTATTCGGCATTCAATGGACATCACTGAGATTGGGACCCGTTCTTGAAACTTTCTGACAGGTAATATTTTATGCATTCACGAGTCAACCTTCCTTGGAAACAAAAGAAAAAGAAAAATAAGATAAAAGATAAACAAAGGAAAGATAAACAAGAAATCAATACGAGATTCTCGATATCATGTTACCTTACTAGGTCAAAACATGAGATCCCTATCAGTCATGAAAGCATAGACAGTGGGCCAGAGAAATGCCACAGCACCATACATTTCATAATAAACTCCGAGTTACGCAGAGAAATGTGCGCTATTCTTGAGCAAGCAACGACTCAGATAACCGAGATTGGGTGTTCTGGTACTAATTGCAAGTATCGTAGGTAGTGCACATATCGGAAGAGGGAGGGAGGGGAAATTTCTTTATTTTACTGTACAACAGAGACTAGGATTTTCTAAACAAGAGTGTAATGGATACAAACAGATGCGACAAGAAATCCGGAGTAAAAGGTTGTAGAACTAAAGCGGTTTAGTTCCGAGTCTGCCTGGCAACGGAGGACGATCATGCGACTGCGCATTTGGCATCTGCGGGCCACCGCGGAAAAGGCGGTGTTTACATTCTTCCCCATTCGGAATCCCTGCAAGTGAAAATAACGGCCCGAGGCCCTTGCGAAGCGCTTTGAATTCTCACAACTTAAGTCGCCTGATCCCCGCCAGTTCATCCAATATTTGGCCGACAGCTTGCAGGCAAGCATGGAGCCGCACAATCTGCAGGCGGCGTCTACCTATATAAATAATGTGCTTCTCGCCCGGGGGTTACTGAAAAGTGGTAAGCCGATCGATTTCGCTCAGCCGGAGAATGAGGAGGGTGGCACCGGGGCTGCGATGGCGAGAGTCATCAACCTGGTGAATGATTTAGTCCTGAGGAGAGATGTATGTGAATAACCTGTCTCGTCTCTTACATGATCTGACCAGGTTGGAATAGCGCGAAGCCGAACACCGAGAGAACCTAGCGACTACGATTCGGACAATGCGAGCGGAGGATGCCCAAAAGACACTCGAGATTGTATGTTCCAGCAACACTTGGGAGGCTATACAAGAAGCTAAGACTGCGTATAGGAGAAACTCAAGGCGAAGACATCCGAATTGACCCGATCGGTCGCTTTGGCGGAAGCGCAAGAACGTGCCCAGAAAGCTAATGCAGCGAGTGCCGACGCTACAGTAAGACAACTGAAAGACCAAGTGCAGCGTATGAAAACTACGATTCAGCAAGTCAGGGCCCAGTGTGCCAACGACATCCGCAAGCGTGACCTCGAGATGCAGAGATTAAAATCCCACCTGGCTGAACGTCAGAGAGGAAAACGGGAGGGGCTAGGCGTGACAACAATCAACATAAACCCTGCAGTCGATCGATCCTCCAAAGCTAAGCTTATGTCGGGTGGCGATAATGTCAATGACCCAGGCTACAGTCTGAAGCAGGAAACGAACGATTTTCTGACAGAGTTATGTCAGAACTTGAGCGACGAGAATGATAGTTTAATTATGCTTGCGCGGAACACCGTCCAGACTCTGAAGGACTTGCAAGGGTTGCCCCAAAGTGAGGAGAATGAAGAGTATTCGAACGGCTCAAGCGTAGGAACTCAGAAATCATCACAAGGGCCAGTTACTACACTTCCGGCGTCTTGTGAAGAGCTGTCCAACCAAATGGATAGGGTGCTTGAACATCTGAGAACACTCCTCACCAATCCCTCTTTTGTACCGCTCGAGGAAGTCGAGGTGCGCGACGAGGAAATAGGGAGGCTACGGGAAAGTTGGGAAAAGATGGAGAGCAGGTGGAAACAAGCTGTTACCATGATGGACGGATGGCATAGACGAATCGCCGATGGTGGTGGCTCAGTGCAAGCGGAGGAGTTGCGAATGGGTATGAGGCTCGACCTTAGCGTAGACTCGGCTCAGGATCTTGCATCAGCCGACGACGAGGAGGAACAGATGCAGTCGCCAATTTACGAAGACCAGGAAGCTGAAGAGGAAGAAGAGTCCGCAGACAAGACTTCTCAAGAGAGCGTTGAGCAACCTCCGGCTTCTGTTGACACTCAGCTACCAGTACGGGAGGAGAAGTCTCAGAAGAGCTCCGATCGTGCGCTGAAGGAGCGGAGCGAGAATGTTCGACCCGCGCGCTTGCCACGAAAGGTTTCTTTCACACCCGGACTCCATGGATCACCTTGTGAACCTAGTGGTGGCGATGATACTCTGCCAATCAAAGCACATCAGTCCGAGACAGTTACGCGCAGGCCGTCAAGAAGAAAGCCGGAGACCAAGACGTCGCGTCAGGTACCCAACCAGACTAGCAGACTGCATGAGCTGAAAAGGCCAGGTCTGACTAAGGAGCAGGGCCCCAGTTCTCAAACTCGGATGAGTGTTTCGCAGAAACTAGCCGCTGCGGAGAGTGAAGCTCGCGCTGCCGAACAAGCCCGCAAAGAAGGCGAGAGCCGTAAGCGAGGCCGCGCAGTGAAGGGTTCTAAAGGGAGCCAAGATCGGCGAAGAAGCACTCTCACTAATGACGAGCTGGGCGAGCTATTGGGCATGACATCCCGGTGAACAAGCTATTGTAAGCCAGTGTGTTTAGGATATGATTTGTTTGATACCCTCCAGTGTAAATACTTCTCTGCGTGCTACCTGTTAGCTGCATACGATTGTCATGATTTGACCTGATCTGGCGCATGGGAATTCTTCTGGCTTTAGTTGAAAACATGTACTCGTTAATCATAATGCATCTAATGGATTGGATATGGGATTCCGACATGCTGTGATCAACGCATATACCTTCTGTTGATATTCATGAGGATATCCCGCAACCTCGGCAATTCTTGATTCGGTCCGCATTTTGGTTCGATCTCCACCATTTGCTCTGGAGTAGCCGACTTCTTTCTCCTTTTAATTGATGTACATATATATCCCCTCCTAATCTCTGAAATATCCGCATGCTGCTCGATAGTTCACTTCAACTGCTGAGCGGATCTTGAATAACTTACATATAATTGCTAGAAAAGCAATCAACCTCTCCATTGCGCCACCGACGACACCCAGACAACAATCATATACAGTTGAAACCATCAGTTTAAGAATATACACACCTCAAAATACCTAAACCCATATCACCCGACAATGTCCCCGACGACCCCAGACACATTCAAGGGCTGGGTGGCCCACAACGCCACAAGTCCCCTAACATTCATGACCTTCAACCCTAAACCATTCACAGAAACCGACATCGAAGTCGCAGTTTCCCACTGCGGGATCTGTGGGACAGACATTCACACCCTCCGCTCAGGCTGGGGCCCTGCAGACTACCCCTGCGTAGTCGGCCACGAGATCATCGGCACCGTGACCCGCATTGGCTCGGGCGTCCCAACGCTGGTATCATCCCCAGCCTCCCGCGAAATCCGCGTTGGAGACCGGGTCGGAATCGGCGCCCAGAGCATGTCTTGTCTGAAAGCGGACTGCGCCGAGTGCGCAGACGGACAGGAGAACTATTGTCCCCGGATAACGGGGACGTACAACTCGCGGTACGCCGACAAGAGCAAAGCATACGGGGGCTTCGCAATGCACTGGCGTGGGCCGGCGCATTTTGCGTTCAAGATCCCCAACTCGCTGCCCTCGGCTGAGGCGGCGCCATTGCTATGCGGTGGGGTTACTGTGTTTGCGCCGTTGAGGAAGTACGGTGCCGGGCCAGGGAAGTCGGTTGGGATTGTGGGTATTGGGGGACTAGGGCATTTGGGGATTTTGTTTGCGAGGGCGTTGGGGTGTGACCGAGTGGTGGGGATTTCGCGGACGTCGAGTAAGCTGAAAGATACAATTGAGGGACTTGGGGCGGATGCGTTTATTGCTACCGATGAGGAGAAGAAGTGGGGGAGGACACATTCGCGTTCCCTGGATCTGATTATCTGTACTGTTGATGCGCCAGATATGCCGTTGAGTCAGTATCTGCGGCTGCTGAACGTGGATGGGACGTTTGTGCAGGTCGGGGCGCCTGAGAAGCCGCTTCCACAGTTGACGGCTTTCTCTTTGATTCAGAAAGGGGTGAAGGTTACCGGGTCGAATATCGGTTCACCGGAGGATATTCGGCTCATGCTGCAGTTGGCGGCTGAGAAGCGTGTGTTGCCGTGGATTCAGAAGAGACCGATGAAGGATGTGAATGCGGCGCTGGCTGATATGGATGCTGGTAAGGCACGGTATCGATATGTGTTGGTTAATGAGACGGAGAAGCAAGCGAAGTTGTAGGATATACCATGTGGGCGTTGGTTTCTGCTGGAGTAAGGTACGTCTGGTGTTTGATAAAATAGAGGGGCGCACGTTGAGTCTAGGGCAGGGTGCAGAGTCTGTACAAGTATGGCTTGAAACGCAGTTACAGATTCAACACGAAGATTGAAGTAGCTTGATGTGTTGGCCAGGCATTACCCCAGTATAGCCCGGTGATGGGCTCCCTCAAGATAGCACTCACTAACGACGGCCGAAGCAAGAGACTGTAGCTCCAGTGGAACCAGGAGTTACTTCTCTTCATTATGACAGAGAATCTTAAGCTCAACGGTTGGGTTGTCAGTAGTGGCAGTAGCGAGAGCCAATAGGCCCCAATAGAAGACTCTAGCCTTTACCCTATTCAGAGAAAGGTACGAGATATACGAGACCATCTGTGGATCTTTGCTGTGCCTCCACTTCTGCTACGGTGTATGAAAGTGCGACGAGGAGGGGTTCTGTAGCTCCAGGTTTTGGTTTAAACACAATGGCAGGGCCAGTATACCCCCCAAGTATTTCACTCGCCTTGCTGGGTTTTAACATTTCAACCCTGTTATATATAGCTTTCCGGGATGGCAGACTCAAAGCATACAGACTGGACTGCCTACCACTACTATCCTTCCAAGGCTGCAGGTATATTGTTTGTTGTCCTATTCCTCATTCTTTCCGTCATCCACACATACCGTCTACTTAGAACCCGAGCATGGTTCTTCGTCCCGTTGGTGACAGGCACTTGGTGTGAGTTTCCATGCTTTGCATATCGAGCGGCCCAATAGTTGACCCCAATAGTTGAGGCTGTAGGGTACATCGGACGTGTTCTGTCGGCCAACGAATCCCCAGATTGGACAATCAGTCCCTACGTGATGCAAAGTACCCTTCTGCTCGTTGCACCCGCGCTTTATGCCGCTAGCATATACATGGAGTTGGGCCGAATCATCCATCTAGTCAAGGCGTCAAGATCGGCAATAATCCGGGTGACATGGATGACCAAGATTTTCGTTGCAGGAGATCTGCTCAGCTTCCTAATGCAGGCTTCAGGTGAATCTCCTCATAATCTGGAGACACATGGAATACTGACGGAAACAGGTGCGGGTATTATGGTCTCTAATTCTAAAAGCACTGGTGAAAATATCATTCTGGGTGGCCTGTTCGTCCAGATCATTTTCTTTGGATTCTTCCTCATCAGCGCTCTTGTTTTCCAGAGAAGATTAACCAGGAGTCCCACTTCAGAGTCCGCGGATCATAGCATCCCCTGGCAAAAGCATATGTTTGCATTGCACTTCTCAAGTCTTCTCATTCTGATCCGGTCGGGCTTTCGAGTTGTGGAGTATATTCAAGGCTCGGATGGCTTCCTACTCCGAAATGAAGTCTTTATTTACGTGTATGATGGGCTTCTAATGCTCTTTGTAACCGTTGTCTTTCTGGCCATTCATCCAGGTGAATTTAGTTGTCTCTTAGGCCAATAGTGACTTATGGAGATTCGGGGACAGTCTTGAAGTTTGTGAGCCTCATTTCCCTGTTTGATGCATCAGGTAGAGTATCAAGTCTAGAAGAACATCCTTCCCGAAAATAGGTCCTTAAGAGAGAGAAAACTTGCGATCAGAGTGCCCCATGTGCCAGAAATGCGCAGGCAAACATCCCACTATTGAAATAGTAAGTCCTGAGAAAAGTCAAACTGAATTAATCGTTTCAATTTCGTTGAGGAAATCCTGTCCGAAAATTTCTACCATGGGCCACTGTGCATGCGGTTTCCAGCGATCATCCAGAATCTGATATATTGCCCTTGGTAGCTTAAATATCCATTGATCGATGCACCAGCCATACTTGAGGCGACAAAGAATTGCGCAGAGATGCGCTAGGATGATCAGGGCTAGAGGACTACGATCCCGTATCAGGTTCACAAACTTGGGCTTCAATCTGATTGCCCATCTCGCGGCAACAGTGATCGAAGTCAAGCCACCATAGGCTGCAGCCATTATATCCGTCAGATTTTCAATAGTTTTGTTGTATATGTCGGTATCATGTGTCGGGTCTTGCGCGCCACAGTAAGCATTCAGCTCACGTAGTCGTTCGAGGGGTGAAAGGACATCTTGTGGAAGAGAGGCAATGTATTTGTCCAAGCGCAGGAGAATTTCCCAGTCGCTATTTCGGATAGACGGCGTGGCCTGTCTCAGCACTTGCTCCACGCCCCGTGCTAATAGCAAAACTTGAATGAAATCGTGAATGCATGCCCATGGATCTTTTGATTCGGGAGAATGAGGAAAACCGAAAGCATATACAACTACCACGCTAGATAATGCAAACATAGCTTTTGCATTTGCGTCATTAATATCATCGAGCTGCTTTCGGAAAAATGCTAATGCCTGGTTCTGGTGGGCTACGGCGGCACTGATATATTCCGGCCGACGGTGGTCGTCCCTCGTCCGGGCTATATGAAGGGCAGAAAGAGCCAAGATTCCGTGCATAAGGAAAGAATGTGACAAGGCTTCTTCAGGAACACGAAGACGCCAGACCGGATCAGTCCTTTCATTGCGTGTTAGGACCTGGTACGTTGAGTTACACCACTGCATCATCAACTCCAAGTCACCTAGGTTGAGGCTGGGACTGGAATGAGTTGCCCCTCCATCTTTGGCAGATGTGTCAAATGGATTGGCAGTTACATGCGGTGGCTCTGGCAGAGGGGGTTCATCAGATCTAGAGTTAACCGACTTTGTATCATGGTGTAGTAGTTCCTCGTTCGCCCATAGGAGGGAACTGCTCGAGTCATATTCGCATCCCGCTTGGCGCTTAGAGCAATTGGAGCACACTGGTCGGGTTTCATCGCACTAAAAGACCAGTTCAGTCGAGAAAATACATGGAGCCATGCCAAGTGAGTGCATACCTTGACTCGTCTTCGCTTGCATTCTAGACAGCCATGGCGAGACTTCCGATGGGGTCTTCGTAGTGCCATCAGATGCAGCCGCACAACGACCAGCTATGCTGAAATATTCTGGGTAGTCAAGAATTGCTAGAATAGAATGGAGATTCCTGGAGCTATAGTGTCATCCATGAGGGAAGAGAAAGGCATTTCTAGGCAACTGCATACCTATGAAGTTAAGCTTATTTTATTTCATTGGAGGCTGAATGATATTAAGCGGATTATGTCATCATAATAAATGCCAAGAAATCATAATTGACACAAGAAGCAGCGGATAACATCCTATCGTAGACATATATAACACGGTAACTCAAACAGCAGACTTGGTATCTCAGAATATTCGGGAAAGCTAAGAAGAGCATGAAGAAAAAGAGGAGGCAGAGAGATAGATCCTTTAACCTCCACCACCACCCCCGCCACCTCCTCCACTATTATTGTCGCGTCGTCTTTGTTTCTCATACAAAGAAAGCCCAGTGATAAGGACCATCAGATCAAACTCCTCGCCATAGTTTGTCGAGTCGATTTGGAGTTTGCCGCTTTTCTTGACGCTTTTGAATGCACTGCTCGTAAATATTGCAACAATCTGATCGGTCTGCTCATCGACCAGCTTGAAGTTGCGGCTACTCCATTTGGAAGCGGAGGAGCCCTCGACTGCAACAGAGTGGGTTCTCTTCCACATAAAAGACCGTCGTTCTGCTCCAGAGGCACCCCGGACGGTCATTTGCCAGCGGTATTTGTTGCTCCTGATGTTTTGAGACACAAGGTCCTCCCACTCAACGTGGCTGAAACTCTGCGGGTCACCGAGCCCTACTTTCATGTGTCTTGAAAAATGTAGGAATTTGGAGACGCCCACAATAGGGGCCTTCTTATCAGTGCCAGCATGGAAAGTAAGGTCTGGCTTCTTTGGGGTGAAACACGACGTATCCACAAAGAAAAGGGGTGCCTTGTCGTCCGAGGTCACAGTGTAATCATTGTGCCACAGAGTATGGTATACATGAAAGAGGCGACGGTTGCCGCCGGAGTTAAACAGACTTCCATTAAAAGACTCCTGATCAGAAATAGACTTGGATGGATTCATTGTGCAGAGGTCAAGATATTGTTACACATTAATGATGAATAAAGGATAGAATAGAGAAGCATGAGGAGTATTCAAGGGGGTCGTCTTCTACACATCTTATATAGCTATTCTGAGGTGAGAACCCTGTAATCATTTTTAACATACGAGAAGCACAAGGCTTAGCGTTGATCATCATCATGGGTGTTCCAAAGCATAACCTAAAAAAGAACAATCTGAAGGAATGTCATCCAATAATTAGCAAGAAAGGCTCCAAGGGCTGTGCTCTTGGCTCTAGAACACCGGCCAGATTTAGCCTTGGGCAACCCAAGGGGCTCTGTAGCGAATACGACTTGCCCAAACTGGAGAACTACAAGCACGTGATCCATCGATCTAATCATGTGACACATAATCACCTGATATCACATGACATCGCAGCTTGGTGCCAAGACCCGAGCGCGTTGATGGGCGGACTGGCGATGCTGAAGAAGAGGAACTTCCATGACATTTTGGGGCTGACAATTTCCAATTTGTAACTCAAGTACTCCATCACCTAACGGAGGGTTATTGGTTAATTGTGCGCGCCTGACATTAGGTGCCTATTCCCTTGCAGGAGTTGTCTGCCCCTAACTGGTGACTTTTTATTCCGCAGATCGAAGTCGACCAAGAATTATCGCTTTGTTTATGCTCTCCTCCCCGTTACACCGACCACCACCAAATCAACATGAGTTTTAAGGTTCCCTTCGATTCGAGTCCACCCTCGACCCCTGGAAAATCTCGCAGCTTGTTCAGCTTATCTGAAACTCCTGCGGGTGCTCCGCCGTCGGCATCCAATTCCTTTACTCCGCAAGGCGCTCCTCCGTCCACCGTATTTGGCAGCTCCCAGATGAGTTCTAGATCACAGTTTGACTCACCCGGTTCTCTCTTCACAAAATCCGGAAACATCAACCCCAACGACAGCATCTTCGGGTCCTCGATCGCGTCCTTTGATTATCCAGCACCACGGGGAAGGAAAGCAGCTCCAGCCAAGTCCTTTGCCCCCTCTCAATCTCTTTTCAGTGTTACAAATGATAGCCGGTTTGGCGACTCGACCAATTTTGGACCGTCAAATAGTTTCGCCTCGTCGCAAATGGAAGAAGATGTTGAGGGCGAGGAGGCCGTTCCAGAGGAAGAAGAAGTGGATAGCGATATGGTACTAGGCGATACAACTGGAGACGGCAACCGCTTGAGCTTCTTGGACTCTCAGTTTGGAAAGCCAGTTTTGCCACAGCCCACCTCGCAAGGTCAACGAAAACCGATATATACAAATCCAAGCAATGCAAAGCGGCCAAAGCTTGATGAAAAATGGGCAAATCAATCACCTCTACGCAAAACGAAACTGTCTCCCAAGAAGGACTCTCCAATGCCGTCAATTGTGCGAAATTTCACGTCCAGATCGCGTATCGCGTCGGTCGAAGAGCCAAGCCAAGTCATCATCAACACTGAAGATGAAATATGTCGCTTGTACGACGAAGTGCGGAAGGCTGAATACCAAGATGTGGATTTCCAGGTCATGTTGTCAGAGGTTTGTAGCCAACTAACGGACGATTGGGAATTATATGCAGAGTACGAGGGCGTATCTAGGGTCTCTAGTACACAAGTGGGCCCTGGGGACCATGCTCCTGGTGTGATTAAAGCGAGCTTCCTGGGCTCTTTGTTGCTACAGCTTCACCACCCCCCTCTTTCAAATGATAGGTCAGGGGGTTTCCCCAACCCTCTAGGCTTTGCGGCACCGCAAAGTCTTGTGCTTGCGAGCGCGAGAACTAGTGCTCCCATCCCCATACCGAAGCTGCTCCTTGATTGGCTTAATAGAAATTATCCTCAGACGGCCGAACTGCGATCATTGAAAGATGTGGAGCCGAACCCTACCGCGTCTTCAAATTTTTGGGAGATTCTTAAGGCTGCTGTATTGCGCGGTCATATTCCCGAAGCTGCGGACATTTTGCGAGTTGCAGATTTCAACTACGCTAGGTCTGCGTTGGAGGACGGCTTACCACAAACGGGTTATCGTGGAGCACAGCTGCAGAATATCCAGAAGTGTGTCAATAGAGCCCTACAGATTTTAGACTCATGCCCTGGCACTCAGCACGGTGATTGGGATGTTAGGGGAACCGAGTGGGGCATGTACAGGAGACGTGTGCTTGCTGCAGTGACAGACCTTGAAGAATTTGCTGAAGGAGGTGAGCAGGAAGACCCCGAGCCCCCGGTTGTGGGCAATCGTTTCCAGGCAATAAACTTCGGATTGAAGCCCAGTGCTGCGGCGGTCGAATTCTCTTTTGCACAGTCTGCGCGCATGGCAGAAAGTCGCGTTCCATGGACGATTTACCAAAACCTGAGATCCCTCTACCGCATTATCCTCGGGGATACGAGCGCTATCATGAATCTTGCACAGGACTGGGTTGAGGCGACGGTCAGCTTGACAGTATGGTGGGACGGGGAAGATGATGAGAGTTCAGCACCAAGCAATGGACTTGGTGCCAGCACTAGTATTCACTTCCTCCGTCCTCGGGTATCGAAACCACAGCCTTCTAGCAATAATCCTGAGGATGCTTATCTTCGTCGCCTTGATCTGGCTTTTAATAGTGCGACAAATTCAGAGTCAGATGACGGCGGTTTCCGGGTTAACTCTCTCAGCAGCATTGAAGTTGGACTGGCCTCCGTCTTTGAAGGAAACGTTGATGGCGTGTTAGAATTGCTTCAGACGTGGTCGCTTTGCGTTGCGTCTGCTGTGGCTGAAGTTGCGTCTGCCGGTGGCTGGCTAGAGACGACAACCGGGGCAAAGCCGCTAACAGGCTTGAGCGAGAATGACTTGATGGTCCTCTCCTATGGGCAAGATGGTAAATCGCAGAAGGGCACTATTAGCAAGGACGACATTCTAAGCAGCTATGCATCTGGACTATTTGAGCGCGGAAGCATGGAAAATGGTGTGCGACAAGGCTGGGAATTGGCGCTGGAGGTTCTAAGCCGCTTAAATGACCATGAGAAGATGCAGAAGAGCGTGTCAGAGCTATTGGATAAGTTGCCCCTTGACACTGCGGAGCAGATGGACAGGGCCGTGTTGCTATGCTCTGAACTAGGTCTAGAGAAGGAAGGGAAGCGAGTCTCTGAGGTCAGTCACTTACTCGTGCCAACAGAAAATGACGTACTAATTCAATGCAGCGTTTCGGCGACCTTACAGTATCAAAGACCGAAGAATATGGCCTCGCTTTAATCTGCTATGCTCGAGCCCACAACCGACGAAAGGTCAAATCGGTGGTTGATCTCCTTATCTCCTACAGTCTCGTCCAATCACGCGCGTACCCTGCTCCTGCAAACCTCGATGAACAGCTCTGCTCATTGATCAGAGAACCTAAGGCATGCCTCTCGGCAGTTGCTGGGGTTGATGAGGAAGCTGCCGGTATTCTTCAATTCTACTTTAGTGGTTATGCTACTCTGCGACGATACTATGAGACTCGTGATGAGGCTATTGGTCTCCGAGAGGGGCAAAGACCACGGTTCAAGCCTTTAGCCAGACGGCGAGCGGCGGCTCAAGCTTTAGTCGCGGTCATCAGTAGCGCTGCAGACAGCATTTACGGTGGCCTTTACGACCCGGGCCGAGATTCTGCGGTGCAAGTCGATGGCTTATTAGCGCTTCTGGGAGAGGCGCTGTCGTTTGTCGAACGTAAGTCGTGATTTTTCACGTTAGATAAACTCGGCCGCTAATCGAATATTAGAATCTACACCCATTCTTTCCGTATCTCAACAGTCCGCCATTCTGTCCGCCATTGAAGATATTGAGACGGTTACACCCCGCGTCTATGCTCAATGTGAAGAATGTTTCCGCTCTACACTCATCGAATATCACTCCAAGCGCGCAGGCGCTGATTCAGCATCTGACTCTTCTGTTCTCCCACCATCTCCTCGCGCATTGCTGAAAAAGTCCGTGTCCTCGCTGACAGCTTCGAGCACCTTCTCATTCATCGGTAGTGATATGATCGAGTCCGCACGGAACCGGTCGGGATCCGGATCCGCTGGTAGCTCTGGCGTATTGGTGCCTCGTTCTAGTAATGACGCTTCCTCGGCGTATCAAGAGCGAGGCTGGGACTGGCGTGCTGGTCTGCCGGAGGACGCCAGGGGAGAGGATATTCTCCGAATGTTGCGGTTGGGGCTTGCAAAAGGACTGAGTTTCGGAGCTCTTGGGTCGGTCTAATCAGGGATCGATAAAAAGTTCTAACATTAGCATGTACGGTTTCCCCCCCCCCAAGGGGTCGGTGCTTGTCACTTCTTGAATGTATTATGTATAATGGGTAATAGCGTTCAGTAACGGACACAGAGATAAAGGAATAAAAAAATCAGACGCGCATGGACGCAACATATCACCCAGTCTGCCATCGGTTGCAGTACCTTCACATGTATGTTGTACCGAGAATCGTCAACGGTAGAGTTATAGCAGATACATCATACAAGTATAGTAATAAGTTGCCAGAAACTCCACATTTTATGTACTACTTCACCTGCAGGAGCTACATACTCATTCCCTAGCTCTCAAAATCGGTGCAATACTACTACTGAATTGTTTGCATGAAGACAGTGAAGGCAAATCAACCGAAGTAGTCCCTCTCTATCGATGAACTGATAGACTAAATTCAATTCTCTCCCGGTGAATAGATGCGAAGTCACTACTTATGTTATTACAGTATATATACACCACTATAAAGGAAGTTTCCAATTTAATGTCCTCATTCAAAGCCATATCACATCATCATGTCCCAAGTTCATTTTTCGCCCCTGTAAGTTTGTCATCCAGCCAACTACCTAACTGCTACTCTCGTCTGAAAGAAGCCACCGGGTAGAGCATGGTTCCATCAAGGTGGTGGTACTCAGTTGTCCGTGTATAGACTTCGCTTCCACGTGGTTACTATTATGTACTCGTGGGTTCCGGCCCTAAAGGCATCGCCGCCGTTTAAAGCGTACCCCCATACTTGCATGACTAATGAATCGCATAGGCATAAACCGCATGGCCTGCTGAACCCAATTATACCGGACTAGTTCAGTTGCCTTCAGATAATACCTTCATTATAGAAGTTCTATAACGAGGGTTCTTGGGCGCCACCTACATTAAACTACTACGTGCTATAATACTCATACATCTAATATTCTATTATGGAAGCGGGTACACCAACCAAAAAATCCGCTTCCAGCCCCAAGAAACGCAATCGAGACCGATAGTTCCTCCTCTATTGGATTGCTCCCTCATTCAACGAAATTTAGAGTTTGTCTAGGGACAAGATACCTGCTCTTGACTTCAACTAGTGCCATGAAAACAAAAGCACACCATTAGCCGTGGACGGAACCTAGACTTTAATCCAACTGGCTGTATAGCAAAAATGGCCTGATGGTCCCTTACATGTTAGGTCAAGCATCGGGCTTTACCTACGCTCAGGACGTACTTTTTGGGGTTTTATTACCCAATGTGCATCCACAGTATTGGAACATGAGAAAGCGCCTGATTGATAGATTGCTGTCGCATCAAGCGTTATGCATAATAACAAGCCGTAACCGGAATGTTTTTATTTCCCATACGGTCTCAATAAACAGCAATAGAAACGCCATACATATATGTTACATAGGTGAGAAGACCTGTGTCAAGCATCTATTTGAACACTCTGGCGCTTGGACAGGACCCAAGGGATAAATTCCTTCTGCCCGTCAAAGAAGCGAGTTGAATCTAGTGTGCTGCCCCTAATACGAATTCATCTAGTGGCTTTATTACAGGAAAGACGTCACCAACTATCTTTCAGAAAATAATTACAGATACTGAATAAGAACCCCCTCCCCATGCAGTAGCAGTGAAGGGCCTAAGGGTGATCGCTGCAAACTAGAAACACCCTGATAAGGGAAAAGTAGAACAAGCACTGTGTAGTTCTATCGAGAAATATGCTCTCGTCCCACATAAAACGGAAAAGAGGCGGCGCGTGTTCGCTTTACCAACTACCCATACCTATCTACCTATCTAATAGCCCATTACAGGTCTCAAGTTTCTGTATCCCAGTATCCAAGCCACCAAATGGAGCCAGACTTGGTTCTATGTATACAAGGGTCGCTCGATTCGATTGTGAATACTCTGGATATAACTAAAAAAATGTTGGGTAGCCAGTATTTCTCGCAAATGCTTGGTCATTCTGAATCTTTAATAGCCAATGCAAAGGGCATTTACTACAATGTTGAACTTTATCATGAATGAGACTGTTCTGCATCACCTACAGAGATCTAGGACAGAACTTTCATGTACTTTCATACATGATGAGAGCCAGCTTTGCCCATTCCGTTCCCCCCTAAGCGGGCCGCGGTAAGTAGATTCGTGGATATGCAGTATTGTGTCCCCATTAAATATCGATTTTAAAGTCACTTTCGCGGTAAATATTCGTTGGAAGATAACCATCTTTTCCTTGGATTAAGGGAAATATCAGTGAAAGCTACGTTGTATGGTTCCTATGCTGGACTACTATGCCCCAATAGCGAAGGAGTTGATGTTCGCCACATTGATTCCCATGTAGATGGAACTATATACATGTCTCTTTCCGTACACTATCTCAAATGATCCCAAGCTCCGTTTCGCTTGATCTCCTTGTTTTCCTTTATTTTTGTCACAGGTTTATTTGTTTAATTTGAAGTTCAATCTACTTAGCGCTTATGGAAGTGATTTTTTTTCCTCTCCAATTCCTTTAAGTTGCCATGTGTGCATGGATTCTTCAGGAAATAGAATAAAAGATTAAGTTCTACTAGTATCATCTTCAGCTGTTGGTGGCTCGAGGGACATTACACACCTAGTATATGATTCGTTGGCATGAGGCTGAAAATCTACAGAAGAAGCTTTAATTTCTAAATTAATTTGAGGAAAGCTGTATGGTACTGAACACGGGATGCGTTCAAGCCTTCATAACCATTTGGCTTAACAAAAGTGGGAATGGAGCAGCTGACACAGACTCGCGGCCGATTTAATGCAAGTTAAAAAGACCTTGGCTTTCGAATGACATCCACTTTGATCAATGGTTCGGTTACATCGGCAATGACAATTATGAAACCCAGTCTAGTGTCTCAAAAGTCGCTGCAAGACAGAGGCTCAAAAGGTAAGAGAGAAGAGCCTCAGCTGAAGAGGTTTACTAGTGTCTGCCAACTACGTTGAGTCACCGACTCACCGCATAAACCTGATACAATAACTTGCGACTTAAAAGATAGAACTGACCAGTAAGCCAGGCGACTAAAAAAGGAACAAGATGTTGACCATGGCTAGGGCTCGTAGGGCATGCTGCAAAGGTCCTCATGGGGATCAGGCCAGAAATGGCTGCCTGGCGACAGGGCACGATGATTGGCCAGTGAGAGATAATGACTCAGGCCATCCTTTGGTCCAGTGACCCCGCCAGGGAGACGTGATACGGTGATAGGCCTGGTGGGCAACCATCCAGCTGCCCTTCTCTCCACTCACCAGTCAGCCTTGTGTCAATCCACCGGTTTCCGTCCTCTCATGCATGGAACTAATCTCCGTTAGTCCTTGGAAGGAGCACTCTACAAGTTGCCCGGTTTGTCACCTTGGACTTGATTCGCTCTTTGTGTCCTGACCGCCCCATGCTCTCCTCGGCCCTACGACTTGAAACAGGTAAGGAAGAAGGGGAATGTGTATTCTATATTAGCGCCTTTAGACAAGCCAGCTGAAAACCCCTGCGACAGGAGGACGTGCGCTTGTAAAGGCCCGCGCTATCCTGCCAAAATGGCAGGGGTCTGCAAGACTGTTGCGAACTTGCGATCCCTTAGCCTTCTTGGCTCCAACGGTTCCATCAAAAGTGGATAACCATGCCCGGTTGGAGTTCATGTTTGCAATGAGTATCAGCTGTCATCGCAGAATTACCTTCTGCAGCAATTGCATTAGTCAGAGGCATGTGTCTACAATCTGAAGCTTTGGGTCTGGCTTGCTCTGAATTAAAACTTGAAGGACTCAGCCCGACAAACCCCACTGATCGACTAGGGCTCGGCGTCGTCCGTCGTCGGCCCTACGTGGATTGGAGCATAACCACTATGGATGGTACTAACCTTGCCCGATAGACTGGGTCCTACTATTTTTTCATCACTTAGCTCCCTTTTTTTATTTTTAAATTTTTTTTTTCTCAGCACCTCTTGCCCTAGTCGCGATACACGTTTTCTTCGGGCAATGAACGACCGTTGATTTTGACGGATGCCTTGCATCTGTCGGTGTTTGACTCTCTAAGCGGCTTGGTTAGGAGGCATGAGACTTGCTTCTGTCTCCAGTTGTTCCGTTTTGTGTCCCCATTGTGGTCTATGATGGTCTGGTCGCCTGAAGGTCAATTTTTATAAATGATCGAACTTTAGCATCTCCATTTCCCAGTTTAGCAAACTATCGACAACACTCTCTTGAGATTTCCTTGTTCCTTTGTATTCGAGTCGCTCTTTGACAGGCGACTTGATTTCGTTGTCGCATCTCGCTGGACGCCAACCCTCTCTTTATTATTATAATTTACAGAACCCCCATACCATTTACCATGTGCTTCAAGGTGGTAGAGCGGTTCTCAGTCTGTGGTTGCCTTTATTTTCAACACGCGGTTGACCCGTGTGAAGCGTATGGCCAACGAGGCCATGTAGTGCAGGAGAAGGTTGTTCTCGTCGGATATGCATGCGAAAAGCATGCCGCACGACGGGGCGGATCTACACCTAGAGGCTGCAATTGGCCCGATTCTGGCTATTCCAGCAAGGGATTTTGACGTCGATAAGATATGTCAATTGCAATGCCCAACGTACGCTGCACTTTGACTCGTCTGTGATTTGTCAATCTTGGGGGCAATTGCAATGGGAGTCACCCTAAAAACATACGCGACCTATTATTTTTTCTCTACCGACGGCAATTCGATTCCCTGGGCCTTTATTCAACACATGTGTCCTCTTTCCTCCTTACATTCTACTACTTCGAACATTTCTCTCGATCTTTCCCTTCTTCCTCTTTTTTTTTTTTTTAATTTCGGTTTATTCTTTGTACCCCTAGTACTGATCTAGGGCTGTCGATGCCGGTCATGAGACACGACGAAACTACGACAGCGATCAGCGATTCGTTATTTGTGTTCAGCGATGCAGCATTGAGATGGATTGGGAGTATACTGAGTATACGAGCTTGCATGGATGGAGTTTTTGTTTACCAGGCTGGTGACCTCGACACTCATTAGTCCTAATATTCTGGTGCGTGCAACTGGCTGGCCAGAACATCACCAATACAAATACAACATCTCATTTCCTCTACCCCTATAACAATCCAATAAGAACTACTCTCGTCCGATAATCCTCTCCAGGAAATCAAACCCCCTTCTCTGCATCTCCCAAGTCCTAGACCCAACCTCCATCCCCATCGCAAACGTATGATCTTCCCCCGGAACCTCCACCATCTCACACTCCACCCCTTTCTCCCCAAGAACCCTCACTAGCTCCCTACTCAAATAGATCGGAACCATCCGATCCTCAACCCCATGCACAACACACGTAGCAGGAAACCCTTCCCGAACGCAGCACACAGGATCAATCTCCCTCACATCCTGCCCAGGGAAACAAGCACTCAACACCTGCCCATTCGCAATCTGCGTAAACGCAAACGCATCCCGCGGCCGCGAAAAGTCCGGCCCCATAGCCCGTCCAGACTCCGTCTGGCCCTCGAGTGAGATAGAACTATCCGTAGGGACAGGATCCTCCTCATAAACCCGGTCAATGAGCTCCGGGGACAGACCCGAGGGTAACTTCTCCGCTACATGCGGGAGGGGCGTGGTCCAGAAGGCATGTTTGAAATGGACCGCGCCGTAGAAATCGAGAATTGCTTTGGGTGGTTTAGGGACATCGTAGCCCTTTATCGCGTCCTCATTAGCAAAGGAGTCCTGTATACATTATTGAAAACAAGGGGAGCGGGAAAAATACCAAACTTAACGCCAAAAACCCTCCACTACTCGTCCCGAACGCCATAACCTTCTCTGTATCAACGCATACCGATTCCACTCCTTGATCATGTAAAAACCCTTCCAGGCCCCCATCATACACCCACTCCAGGAGATCCCGACAATCCTCCACCGGGCCCTCGAGGATATTCACCCCAGGACAGAGACGATGGTTGGGGACCACTACGATCCAGCCCCGGGATAGACAGTCCTCGATTTGGGGGATAGAGACCATGCGTGAGTTGCCAAGCATGAAGGCTCCACCGTGAATGTTTATTACTTTCCAATTTCATTAATATCACTCATTATTGATGGTTATTGGGTGGATTTGTGTAGTACGCTCGGGGGTAGTAGAAGGGAAGAAAGAGGCGAGGTAGGGACAACGTACAGATGGGGTATTTGATATTCTTTTTGGATTGGACTTCGGGTAGGTAGATATCTGTTGTTATTTTCGAGCCGTTTTTCTCTTTGTAGAGAGCTGTTAGTGGGTTGGATGTCATTTTCCCCTTTCCCCTCTATGCTTTGCTTTTGCTTTTGCTTTTGCTTTGGTCTTGGGGTTGTTGAGGCTTTTGATGTATGTACTGGATGGATCAGGGTTTATTTTCTCTGAATAGAGGTGTAATTGTCTGGTATATGATGTTAGATTGGGCTTTCTGGATTGGTTTCTTATAACTATATGTGATTACTCACTGGATCTATTGAGTGGTTGCGGTGGATTCAACCCTTGGGGATCGTGTATGCTTTTATGTCTTGGTCGGGATATCCGGACTTTATTTACTGTCGGGATAATCCGACGGGAGTGTGGGGTTTCATACTTAATCTCTGTTTAGAGGATCAAGGATAATTTTATGGGTAGAAAGTGCAAATAAAACATTTTTTTGTATTTTTTATGATTTTTTTCAAAGCTAATCGAAGGAGCATCATTCATCATTCGTTCTGGACGCAGTCAATTACATAACCCTGGTTAGGGTTAGGCACCAACGTGACCAGATAAATCATCACTCATTCATTCCTTCATTGCATGAATCATTCGCCTGGCTGATCTATTATAGCGGCAGACACAGGGCGACATTGTCCTTCCACCATTCTCCTCCACTCTCAATACCATTTATCTCCCCACACCTCTCCCCGAACGCATCGTACTAACCCTACTCTCTTCCCCAGACGCGAACCCCCTCCGACTTCAACTTCACTATAACACGAAGTGAGTCCGGCACGCTCGTAGCGGAGCCACCATCCGGTTTTCTTCGTTCTTTTTTTTTTCTTTTTTCTTTTTTTGTGTATAAAAATGGTCTCTTCGGAGTCCCTGTTAAGGAGAGACTGTATTCTGGGCATCATGGCATAGCTGTAATATGCCATGTTGATTGACATTGCTTGACAGATGGGGTCAACCCATCTCCATTAAATTGACGAAGTAAAAGTTCCACCAAGTGCATGATTTACCGACGAACAACAATGCCCTGGCGACGAACACCCCGGCGGGCCCGGCGGTACTCCTCATCACTGTCGGTCTCGGAGCAGCTAGCCTCCGACGACTCGGTGACGTAGCCACAGCGGCTACCACCACAGTCGAGCTTGACGCGGTCGCCCTTCCGAGTGATACCGTAACGCTCACAGCGGCAGACGCTGGCTGGGTCACTCATGGAAGAAAGCGATGAGGGCGAGGTGCTGCCAGAGGAGCGAGAAGACCGAGAAGACAGGGATGAGCCAACCGAGCTGGGCGGGCTGTTGGAAAGGGAGTACTCGTCTGAAAGGCGGGAACCCGCAAAGCGCATAGAGAGATCCTCCATGGTAGGAGCGAAGTCGGTCTCCCGGATTTGGCGGGAGGCGTAGGGCTTGGAGGGCTTGGGGTGGTGGATCTTAGACGGGGACGGAGCACGGCCCTTGACGACCTCATCAGAGGTTCTTCTAGGCTTCGCGGCAGAAGAGCTGGATTTCTTGCTGCCTCCAGGAACATCGAGGATGTTCAGCTTGCGGCCGGTGGTTGGCTCAATGGTGTACTCAACGGCGGGGTCATGGGAGACGTGGTATCCATCCATGATGTACTAGAAGAATTAGCACTTGTCAACAGTCATGAACAAGGAGGTCGAACTCACATAGTACCAGTAGCGGCCGCCGAGTTTAAGCATAGAGGTCTGGAAGCGGAACTTGCCAACCCATGAACCGGGCTTGCCCTCATCCCTGGAGAGGGGGATCTGGCGGGAGTAGTTGTCCCAAGAGCCAAGCAGATGGACAGTCTTGACATTGGACGAAGTCCGAAGAGTGAACTTCAGTTGCACAGCGGACATTTTATATGAGTGACGTAGTTAGACTAAAGATTAAATAATATTCACGGTGAATGTATAGATGATCGTGTCGAAGTCAAAGATGAGAGCACTCTTCCACAGTATTAGATGCAGAAGATATAAGACTTGAGTCGAAAGACTACCAGAGCCGATTCAATCAAGTCCGTGTTGGTATGTTGGTTGGTTTACTGCGGTATCCAACAGTAATGCTCGCGGATCCAGTCCACGACACGAAATTAGAAAAGATAGTAAAAAGCCTCGGCGATAAAAATGAACAAGGCTGAGCAAGGTTGTGAGCTGCTGAATGGAGACGTCGACCAGCGACAAAGTTGAGCTGTCAAAATCAAGATGGGAATAATGGGGATTGGTGTAATAGAGAGCACAGCTCGTCTGTCAGGGGGGATTTGAGTATGATTTTTTTTTTGTTTTTGATATCAAAGAGATGAAGGGGCAAGTATAGAAAGATGATTATTAAGGTATGGTAGTAGAATGAATTGAACAAAACAACTAAACCAATGCAACCAGTGCACGGGTGTCTCCAAACAGGGGGAAAACTAAGAGCAGCTCCAAACAAGACCAGTCTTGCTGAAGAACAGAAAGAAAGGAAAAGGAAGAGAAAAGGCGCAAGGCTTCCTGGCGGCTGCGGCATCTTTAAGGCTGTTTCTTTGGAAACCTCAGGTCCATGTTCCTTTGGCTCTCGTCACACGGCATCCACTGCTATTCTTGGAGGCGGTGGAGTCAGACGGTCAACCGCCAATTGTCAGTCTTTTCGCTCACTTCCCCGCCCATGTCCGTGCCAGTCGGCGGGTAACTGGCCCGGTCCATTGGTCGGCCGGCCATCCAACCACCATCCCGAACTTACCGCCTGTGAGTCCCATCACATCAACTTTCCTCGTCAATGCCGGTCGACGAACAGGATGTCGACATTGAACGCTTCGCTCCCTGCAGGATCGTGATAAGGTTTACCGGAAAATTTTTACTCAGGGAGGGGTCAATTCCATCATCCCTCCAAGCCGAGTATGTATCATACTGATGTAAACAATGGTCGAACAACCGGAATCCCAGCAGGTTACGGCTGCATCTACAAGGATGAAAGCAACGGGAGATTCCAAAAAAATACTCTAAATTTTATTTTGATATGGTAAGCAACGAAAAGACACAAACATATGTTCGCTTCTCCAGAATCATCCCCAGCAGCAAGGAAAGGAAGTGTGTGTAAGTACCAAAGCCATAATAAGCATCCCTCAAATCCACGGTACGCCGGAAAAATGCCAAATCAATCTGTTTTCTTGGTGGACAACACAGAAAGCTTGAGAGGATAAGGATTAAAAATGTAGAGAAACACCGCGTAAGACCATATCGTAACAGAAAAGAAAACCGATTGTACAGATGCATGGATGATGGACTCCTTACGGTGGCCCCTCACCGCACGGACACGCCGGAACGGTTGGTAAACATGCGGGCAGCAATGTTCATCGAGGCCAGCTCTTGGAACAGAAGCTTGGCGGCATACGGGATATGCACCTGCGAGATCCTGTGCTTGTTGTTGCACAGTCGACACTCGAAAAGTCCCTTCTTCAGTTTACTGCAGCGAGGGGATCATCGTTAGCCCGATTACAGATCAATATAATTTATTCAGGAGGCAGGGAAATCACTTACGCAACAGGCGTCATTAATCCGCAGTCATCGCAGATGTGGACGCGAAACGGGTCAGACACGTCAAAGAGACGTTCCTTTAGGAAAGCACTTGCTCCATGGGCGATCATACAATCACGTTCCATCTCTCCGAATCGGAGACCACCATCACGGGCACGACCTTCCACGGGCTGTCTAGTCAAGATCTGAGTCGGTCCACGAGCACGGGCATGGATCTTGTCATCGACCATGTGTCGCAGACGTTGGTAATACGTTGGTCCCAAGAATACCTGAGCCACTAACTTCCGGCCGGTATGGCCGTTGTACATTACCTCAAATCCCCGAGACTGGTAGCCGTGCTCGCGAAGTAAACGAGAAACAGAATCGACAGTAACATCAGTGAAGGGTGTTGCATCACCCTCAAAGCCACGCAGGGCCGATACCTTACTAAGCTGGCACTCAATCAAGTGAGCAATGGTCATACGCGAGGGAATGGCGTGAGGGTTGATAACTAAGTCGGGCGAAACACCTTCCCGAGAGAACGGCATGTCTTCCTGACGGTAGGTAATACCAATGGTACCCTTCTGTCCGTGACGCGAAGCGAACTTGTCTCCAATCTGAGGGATCTTGGTAGTCCTCATACGGACCTTGACGAACTTCAGATCATCATTGCTGGTAGACACCAGAACCTGGTCCACAATACCGCTCTCAGTGCTCCTAAGAGGCGTGGAGACGTCCAGCTTTGTATGGGCTTTGGTTCTCTGGCCGAGCTCCTCCGCGTCGGGAGCCAGAGGAGCCGTCTTACCAATGATGATATCCTCACCAGAGACACGTACGCCAGGAGCAATGATACCATCCTCATCCAGTTTATCATAAGTGCCTTTTCTCATGCCAATCGTATCCTGTCGCATTGGCTTCTCAAAGCGTTCAACAACGGTCAAACCGACCATCTTCTCACTGTCCGTGTACGTACGGTAGAAAAGACTGCGGAAAAGACCACGGTCAATACTGCTTTGGTTCATAACAACCGAATCTTCCTGATTGTAGCCGGAATAGCAAGCAATAGCAACGATGGCGTTCTGACCAGCTGGCAATTCACGGAAACGCAGGAACTCCATTGACCGTGTTGTCGCCAGTGGCTTCTGAGGGTAGTAGAGAATATTCGCCATGGTCTCCATGCGTTGGTCGAAGTTTGTCAAGAACACACCCATAGCTTGCTTACCCATAGCAGACTGGTATGTGTTACGGGGCGATTGATTGTGATCAGGGAAAGGAATGATACTAGCACAAACACCGAGAATCATACTAGGATGAATCTCACAATGTGTCCAAGTATGTGCCTTCTGGCTCAGTATGGAGCGAACACGCTTGTTAGGATCAAGTTCTTCTTCGGGAAGGGCGTAGCCAGCCTGAAGCTGTTTGGAAATCTCCAGGTCTTCCGGTGTCATGACAATCATGATCGTCTCTTCTTCTTCAGCGTCAACATACTCTACCACACCCGATCTCACTAACCCATCCCATCCAAAGTAACGTTCTCTACGATCTTCAGGGTCGAGGTCGGGTGGTAATTCTTTGTCTTGTTCCAACTTGCGGATGTGTTCCTTGTTTAAGACCAGACCGCCGCAGTTTTCGCTCTTCGGGTCATTGTCAATGACGAACAATGGCCTGCAAACACGTCCAGCATCCGTGAAGATTTTGAACTCCCGCTCACGGATATCACGAATCAAGCTGACCTCGTGAGAGATCATGTTCCGTCGCCGCAGCGACTGCATCGTATTGACAAGATGAGCAGGATCTCTATGAATACCAACCCACACTCCATTGACAAAGACCTTTGTTGCATTAGGTGTGACTTGAGGCTCAAACTCCTCAAGAACTTCCATGTTACGCTGAATCATGAAGTCAATGATAGGTTCGCTAGGTGTACCAACAGTGACGTAACACATGAGAGCCAAATTCTTGACCAGACCACAAGCCTGACCTTCAGGCGTCTCTGCTGGACAAACCAACCCCCAATGGGTATTGTGAAGCTGGCGAGGTTTAGCAATTTTACCATCACGACCAATAGGCGTATTGGTTCGACGAAGATGTGACAAGGTAGAAGCGTAGGTATAACGACTGAGCACTTGTGACACACCAGCCTTAGCGCTTGCGGCCTTCTTCTGTTCACCCCAGTTACCAGTAGCAAGGGCGTACTTCAAGCCACCGGTCAGTGTACTGGCCTTGATTCCAATATTGAGGTAGATCTCTCTGTTGGTCTCAACGCATCTCTGGACATAACGCTGGAGATCACGAGTAACTCGGGTAAACAGAACACGGAAAAGGTTCGCCAGAAGTGGGCCTGCAAGATCGAGACGCTTCTTTCCGAAATGATCACGATCATCAACATCCCGGCGGCCTAGAGCACACTGCAGAAGTCTGTGAACCATATAACCCAAAAAGAATGCCTTTCGAGTCTCACTGCCTTCGCTCTGTGAGATATGAGGAAGTAGCTCCTTCTGCATGATTTCACGCGCGTATCTCACACGACGCTCATGGTTCATGCTTGACTGGGAAGAGCCACGCTTAGCAATGAAGTCCAAAGCAACTTCACGATCCTGAATGACAAAACCCTCTTCAATACAAGGCTTTAGCATTTCCAGCATAGGAATATCGTTACGGTCGTAGCAAATGTGGTTAAGAATGTCCTCGTCAGAGACCACACCGAGCGCTCTGAAAACGACAACGATTGGTATGTCGGTTTTCACGTAGGGCAATGTCGACCTGATAGTAGGGCCGAACCCACCCTTTGCACTATCACCTTTAGCGAACAACTTAAGAGAGAGCTGAGAAAGAAGTCGAGATCCCTTCTCGACGGCACTTCGAATTTCGGCGACATAAGGTGTTGGGCTCGGAGGTGCTTTCTTGAAAACCTGGACCGTGTTACCTGCACTTCGCTCCTGGGCAATCAAAACCTTTTCGCTTCCGTTGATGATAAAATAACCACCGGAGTCGTAAGGGCATTCATTCCAGTTGTATAGAGCCTGCTCGCTCAGGTCCTTAAGAATACAATACTTGGACTTGAGCATGATAGGCACTTTTCCGATGAAAACGGTTTCCTCTTTGGCTTGATCGGCCGGCAGCTCCTTCTGCTCCCACTGGAGGTAGGTGCCACGGGCCTTTCTGTCTTCATCTTCCTCCATCTCCTCATCGTCACGATCTGCAACTGATCGCTCTCTACCTTCCATGATTCGCTTTGTAATGCCGAGATAGAGGGGACTAGCGTAGGTGAGATTTCGGAGACGAGCTTCCTGGGGCAACATAATAGTAGTGGCACCATCACCCTCAGTAACGGAGGGACGGGAAAGCATAACTGTTCCGAACTTGAGCTCATAGCGACGGACAACAACGGGGTCGACTTCATCTTCGTCCGGTGGAAGTGTCTGGTCGAGTGTTACTTGGCCTTGTTCCTCCACCAGTTCTTGCATTGTCGATGAGATGAATTCATCGAAAGAATCCAGCTGCTGCGAGACTAGACCCTTCGTATCGAAGAAAGACGAGATGACAGTCCAGCAATCCTCCGAGGTGATTCCCTCCTCCATATCATCGTAAAACTCATCCTCGTAAGCATCGTCGTAGTCAGCCATTTTGACGGAATTCTTCCACCAATACTACCCAGATATAGAATCAATCAATAAGCGCAAACAGCGCGACGCGCTCGAATAAAAGTTCCCGCGCACAGGCTGTCTTGCTGCCGAAAGAAGCAGTGACACCTGGGAAGGCTTTATCGCAAAGAGACACTGGGGAAAAGTCAGTGAGCTGGGAATCTCAGGTGGATGAGAAGTGAGAGACCCCAGACAAACTGTGATGATGGGGATTAATAGCGCAGTGCTGGGCTTCACCTCCGGACTGTGATGGATCTTGAGCAGAGCCGCCACTAGCCTCGACCGCGGTCTTGGCGCTCCCAGCTGACTAACGCGGGAAGTCAATAATATACCACGTGATATGCAGTTTACGCCTGAGGCACTAAAGGATTTTCCCTTGATAATAATGGAATCGAGGAATGATATTGACTATAATACATAGGCCCATAAATTTCCCAATGCTAACAAGGTCGGTTATAGGAACTGTAGAAGAGTTTCAAGCATTTCCTTATGATCTCTCTGGCCGGGATCATCGTCCGAAAGCCCTTCAATTTGTTCTACGACGATGTCAGTACAATACCATAGAGAGGAAAGCAAAGACTAAACTTACCTTTCAATGTACCTTGAATAAGATAAAGGCCTTCGTCGCGGTCCGCCAAGAGGGACACAATCTTCTTTTTGGCGCCGTCATCTTCAGCCACAAGCCATGCCAGCATCACATCGATAAGCTTTCGAATTCATGTCAGTTTTCGCAGCAACCTTCCGAGAAAGATGGCGACGAACCTGGAGGGAGAATAGACCTGCATCGAACCGCCGAGAGAGCCATTCAACTGCCATCACCTCGCGTTCTTCTTCAGTGAAATTCTTTCGTTCTTTCTCGATATCTTGTTCAACTGGCGATACCCTCGACGCATAGTCGCGCCTCAGCTTGACTAGCTTCTCAATCTTCTCATAATCTTTTTCCATGAACTTAGCAAGAGTACGGATACGAGCTGCTGAACCTCCGGGTAGGAGACGCAGAAGCGAAGCAAATATACCCAGTAGATGCTCTATCGTTTGATTCTCTTGCTGTTCGAAGTCAGTTTCAAACCCATGATCTAGAAAGCTAGAGGCAACCGAACCTTCTTCATGAACATTCCAAACACTGTTCTCAAGCATGCTGCTTCGACAAACCTTTCGCAAGCGGCCCTGCCTCCCGGCCCACCTAGGGCATGATCCAAGACCCGCAAACCGCGCGATTTACTGAACTTTCCCTCCTTCAGCATGATTTGTGCAAGTTCAATACCTTCGCCCTCAAGGAACTTTTCCTTCCCAGAATCTTCATCAACAAGACAGATCAAGCAGTCGAAGAGGTTCTCCACGAATTCTTCCTCGTCTGAATCCTTTGCAGGATCGCGCTTACGGTACTGGCTGAGTAGTTGAAGAAGAATATCAACGCCCTCGAGGCCAACGAACTTGTTTCGCGTCTTAGATGACGACTGCAATAGAATGGCTAATATTTCAGCTGAGTATTGCTGGTTTTGGCTGACCGGTCTTTCCTTCTTCTGTATGCGAGCCAGGAGCCATGGAAGCAGATTTGAATCATCGCCTAGCCTCTCTGCATGCGACGTTTGTGACGCAAGGTTCTCCAGGACACCTTTGACGAGTTAGTATCGCTTTCATGTCTCAGTCTGGGAACAGGGCCAACTCACTCAGTACATAGTAAACGCCTGCTCTGTCGACATCAGACTCTTCGTCCAACCGTGACAAGTTCTGAGCTAATAGTTCGATGAGATCGGCGTCCAACTAGGGATGTCAGTATTATATAGCAAATATTGAATTTAGCAGCGTACCATTGCATTTACCAATGTGTCCCATTGTTCTTGCTCTGCTTCAACGTCTTCGTCGGTCAACTCACTGATGATTTGAATCACATCAATGGCAATATCTGCGTTTTCGTGCGAGAGCAAAGAGATCAGAGAGCCTACGCAACCCAACTTTGAAAACTCCGCATATAATTCGGGGTGCTCTGAGAGAATGGATAATCCCTTAATTTCGCTGTCTAGATCGGCTTCCGAGGCCATGAACCTAGACATCCAGTTAGCACCGCACGTATATCGCCCGGAATGATGAAGCGCAGATGCACCGCATACTTTTGCGGGTCGTTCTCATATTTTCCGCGCAATTCGGCATTCTTTGATATCTTCTTCTCGAAATTGAGAGCAAATCGTCGCAGCCATGCGGTATCGAATTTCTCGGGCTAGTCCAGACTCTTAGCATCCAAGGGCTGCAGCTCCGCAAGGTCGGGTGTACCTACCGCAACATCCCCTCCGTCCTGCTGATCAATATACTGCATCGCCTGAGCCGTTTGGCGCTCCATACCGCCTCCGAAAAAGCGCCCTTCCTCATCGTCTGGGATATCCTCGGCGTCAAATTCCGGAGGTAACTCTGGACCAGCTTCACCATCATCTTCGTTCTCATCTTCAACCATTGGCTCCTTTCCTTTGGATTTCACATCGCCATGCGCATCTAACTTAGCGGCCTTGTAGAGTTCGTCTTTGTGTCGAAGGTCAGTAAGCGGCGAAGGAAAAAGTAGAAGGGAGGTGTGTACTTGGATCTGTGGTAGCGTCTAGTTTGCGCTTAGCGCTGGCTGCTGAAGTAGGTTTCTTTCTTCGTTAGCGCTAATGACCCTGATATAGATTATAGATATCTCACCTTGAAAAGCTCATCTATGCTGGTCATTGTTGCGGCTTGTGTAGTAGGAGGTACGGATTTGGCAGAAACCCACGTAGCCTACCAGCCAAATCTGGCACCTAAGTAGTCTGAAAGAGATAATTCAGATTTTTCTCAAGATAGGCCTGACAACTGAAAGATATACTTTCTAAATCGCGCACAGGAACTTGTTCTTATCACTTGGTCGCGCAGCTGCTCCGATGAGATTACGGGCGGCGCGACAAGCTAACAACGCAACCGCCAAGCACCGAAAGATTTCTCGGAGCGCATCGATTTACCTTCATTTCCGCAGTCTCAATATCATTACTCCAGCTTTGCCTCTCTACGCAAACATCACATCCAGAGAAGTACTTCTCTTTCATATACCATCCTCACTCTTCACATCTTCGCAATGGCTCCCAGACAACGCGTCGTCTCTGCTCACCAGGAGAAGAGCTTTTTGGGTGCCGCCTACGATGAAGTCACTCATCCCGAAAACGCCACCATCGTGAGAAGTGTTCTTGTCTTCGGCGTAAGTTAACGATTGTGCAATGTTTTCGTCTATGTTTGTTTTGCGGTTGAGATTCTGATTATCCTTGTCACAGGCCGGTGTCGCTTTCCTTTATAGCTCTCTCAGCGAACTTCTGCTCCCTCCGTAAGTCGACACATTTCCCCCTAACGATATCGCGATAACCTCGATCTTTTTTGGTGTTCTAAAAAGCTGATGAGCGTTTTTAGCCTGTGAACGGAATATCCGAACGCATCCGTGGCTCGCAAGTATCACTCGGATATAACTTCTTTGGGAGTCAGGCGATTTGTTGAGGTCGATTCGGAATAGACTCGAACCTGCTATTCTTTTTCCTTGGTTTTAAGTAATGGATACCTGTACTATATTGCATGGATTGTGCTTTTGTGGGCATATATGTTTTTGGATGGACTCGTGCGGCGTGCATTATCATCTCCGATATGTCTGAAAAGAACATGAAAACCCAATACGACATGACATCCTTCCGAGTTTGATCCAAACTCTTATGGGAAAGACTTTTCGAATACTCCGTCCTAATATGATCGATGTGTTCGAAATTAGATTGGAACTCAACGATGAGCTACTCCAATACAAAGACTAGCCTCATCTTGAATACAGAATAGAGTATCCACAGCTGTTAGAGAGATTCTAAATTTGTAGATTCAAAGATGAAGGTATTTGCAAGGGCTCTACTCATAGCAGCGAAATCATCAAAATGCTGCAGCGCTATAAAAAGGCATCGGAGCGAGTTTCGGAATAATAAAACCAAATCAGTACTTGATACCTCAGGCACCGTGATGCAAGTGTACTGTAAGTTGTACTGTGCATAGTCACATGTACAATGGACTAGTACCCGATCTCAAGATCCGATAACAGCCAGACTCTCCCATTCTCTTCCTTTGAGACACGGCATGTCAATGTGCTAAACCAACGCCTCAAGATCACTGGTCTGACCATCCGCCAATGAAGCCACACGATGTCTGGCCACTTAAAAACTTCCCAATACTTGAGATAGCGGGGAAAAGCCCACAGCTACCCCACACGGGGAACCTCCGGAACACCGCCCTCAACTGCCGGGGAGATCGCTATCAACTTTCATGTTGTAATTGTGCGAATACAATTCCGGTTCAGTCTATAGCTGAATTTTTTTTTTTTTTGATGCTGGTTCCCCTTCCCGCACAGCTGCAGTAGCAGCTTATCTACATAATTACTTTCATCATGATAACCACGAAGCGCACTGCGTCAGACACAGGCATAGGTCACGGTGAACCTGTGGCGAAACGAAACTCGCTGGGGTACGATGCGCGTACGCCCTGGCTACAAGACTCTAAACCGCCTCCGACATGGCGGACTCTAGGAAACCGGGCAGTTCGGCCGTCTCTGCCACTTGAAAACATGGTAGCTGCTGTGCAGGACCTGATAGATCCAGATTTCGATCCTCTTATTGCCATTCTTGATGAAGAGCCAAGGTTTCTGAAGCCCCTTCCTTCTCACATTTCCCCGGAAGACCTAGAGTTTCTACGTTTTCGTGGAGCTCTCTCGATTCCAGAGAGCGGGTTGCGCAATGAGTTACTGCGATGCTATATCAAATGGGTACATAGTTTTATGCCAGTGTTGAACCTGCAAGACTTCCTAAGGTGTGTCGCGGAGAACGATCCAAACGGTAATATCAGCCTTCTACTATTTCAGGCGGTGATGTTTGTGGCAACGGCCTTCGTGGATCTTAAACACTTGCAAGATGCTGGGTATGCGACTAGAAAAATTGCGCGGAGCGCGTTCTACACGCGACTAAGAGTAAGTACAACAGAGCGTATATCTACCCTCTGGAGCTAACCGAGAAGCAGCTCCTTTATTCCCTTGATTGCGAAGAAGACCGAATAGCCATCTTGCAAACTCTACTATTGATGACATACTGGACCGATCACGTAAATCATCCACAGAGAGACATATGGGACTGGATTGGAGTTTGCAATACCCAAGCTCATTCAATCGGATTAAACCGCGACCCTACTACATCCCCCACAATGGACCTCAAAACCAAACGATTAAGAATACGTCTGTGGTGGAGCCTATATTCCCGGGACCGTCTCATCTCCTTGGGCATGAGACGACCTACGCAAGTCAATGAAGGAACCAGCAACGTTCCAATGTTGAGACTAGACGATTTTGAGTACGAATCCTTTCATCCATCCGTTATCAATATGTTCCATTGCCGCCAGCTGGAAGACCCGTCCCATCAGAAGCGTCTAGCAACCATGTTCATGGAGAAAGCTAAACTTTGTCAATGCATCGGTCGCGTGCTCTTCGCCCAGTACTCTCCGTCGCAGCGCCTGTTCGGTATAACTAATCGGACCACTATTACTCTAGCCCCTAGGCAGGCTTCGGAATCGGAGTTGGCTCGATGCAGTCAACGACTCGACTCGTGGGTCAACTCCCTCCCGAAGGACGCCCAGTTCATTCCTGCTTCAAAAACAAACTTTAACGATGGAGAAGATGTCTTACTTCTCCACGGTGCGATGGTTAGAATGCTGTATCATGCTACTATAAGTGCTTTATATCGACCGTGGGCGTATGGGTCCAACAAGGGTCAGAGTAAATCACGAATCGAACTGACCAATACTGCACGGTCAAAGATGCACGATGCAGCTATAGGGATTACACATATCATCCAAGGCCTGAACCAGCTGAACCTCACTCGATTTTTGCCCCAGTCCGGCGTGACAGTCATCATACCAGCTACTGTGCTACACCTGGCTAACTCAATGTCTGATAATCCTACGGTGCGAGAAGCCAGCATACGTAACTTCCACCGGTGTGTCCAGGTTTTGCAGGGGTTGAAGGAGCTATATCCAGCCGCAGATATGGAAGTTGCCAACATCGAAGCCGCCGTTAGAGTCCAGTCAGACAGTGCGAGTACATTACTCCAAATCATGCAATCCAACAGTATCAATCTAAGCCAGCCACAACCCGCCGAGCCATATCGGAGGGGGAGCGATGTTGCCACTATACAGACATTATCCCCAAGTGAAGACCAAACATCAGAGCATTGGATCTCGCCGATGGAGCCAGAACCTGCGAATAAGCCAAACAACCCTAGTTCAGAGCATCCCAAGCCCTGCCCCGCCGATCAAAGGTCGAAGCGGAACAGCGTTGTAATCAGTACAGCAGCCAACAAGACTAGTGCATCTCCATCTAAGGCTAAGCCAGATTACCTTACGCCTACGAACGACTTTGACGATCACTTTAACTCCGCCTTCAACTCTCATTCTCCTCTACCTGACCCCACATTCAATCCGTCAAGCTTTCTCGATATAGACTCAAACAACACCGAATTCCCGCTCTTCCAGCCGTCAAGCCATCCGGATATTGATATCGACTGGGCAGAGGATTTCTTACGAGGAGCAGATTTCAAGATTGACTTTTCTAGCTCCACGCTAGAGGACCACAGCAGAGATTTCTTCTCGTTCTCGGATAAACAGGCGGAAAGCTCAAATGCTCCTAGGAAGGAGGAAATCACAGGTGATTTGGATAAAGACCTGGGGCTGAACTCTGGTGACGAGATGTTTTAGGATGAAGCGTGTGTTTTTATTACTTCTTATACATATATCTGTCCAGCTTGTATAGCTTCATCATCCTGTTCTCATATAGTCGTGATTATTCATCAGCGATACCCTGCTTTTATTGCGGAAGCGAGTGATGCGTTTGATCAATTCAGCACAATATCCAACCAACTAAAACGGAAAATCCTCTTCTGTTTCAATATAAATTCATAGTTATAAACCAGTCCTCCATCTATGTAGAGTATCTCTATGAAAATGACATATTACAGCCGGTGACCGTCCTCTATTTGGCACTCGGGTCTTAACGTCTAGGCAGCTAGCGCTTAGACCAACGGTTGCTCTCGTCACCTTCTTCCCATTCGTGTTCGACGTAGCCGAGCTTCTTCTTCACTTCCTGGACTTTCTGTTTGTCTCCCGTATTCTTGCCCATGTTGTCACTGAGCTTGACAGCCGGGCGACCATTTGCTGTAGAGATCTTGATGACGATATTGAGCGGCTTGGACTTTTCGTCATTTGATTTATTTGTAAAGTCGTCTGCCTATATTTAGCCCAGTGCTTTTAGAGTGTATTTGAGATTAGTACTTACTGGTAAAGAATGTACCAACGCCAAAGACAGGCTGGAATCCAGCTTCCTCCGCAATGACCTTGTACTCGAGACAATGCTCGATGTTGAGAGAGTCAGAGAACACCATAGTCTTTTTCTCCGTGACGCCTTCCTTATCGTAGAAATCTCGCACCATCTTTACGAAGTACACGGGATCGCCAGAGTCCTGGCGCACCCCGGTATAGGCTTGAGCATAAGTTTCATTGGAGGTCTGAGCGTCACTGTAATGAAGTGGTGCAGTGATCGGGGCCTTGGTCTCCGCCTCACTTTGAACAGTCGACTCGCTGGTTGTAGCAGGTCCAGAAGCCGAGGTGCTGACTGCACCAGCTCCTGCGGAGGTAAATGGAGGAATTGGCTTCCGAAATGCATCCAGAAAGGCGGGGGTGCCGAATGTGTCCGTCAAGGCGATACCCAGAACCTTGTCAAGGTCAGTCTCTTGCAGATCTCAAAGGTGATTTTAACGTACCCCTTTTCCAAAGCAGCCAATCCAGTACCGCAGGGCCGTCTCGTTAGCGTTCTCATAATCATCCGTAATGGCAGCAATGGTCATATACCATTCATGCGCCACCGTGCCGACAGGCTCGACATCATACTTCATAGCAAAGTGAACATTACTTGACCCTGTGAATTTACCCCTCCACCCTTGCCGCTTTCCCTCCTCAGCAGCCTTCATCAGCCCAGTCATCACCAGGTCGTGGGTATGGTAATCACGGCGTCGTCTCGATCCGAACTCAGAGAAGATACAACCGTTCTCAAGCAGCGTGCATCCTTTCCGATATGCCTTCTCCTCTTGGCAACTGTAATCCCAGTCCTTATCGCTGAACATAAAGTATGCCTCGCTCGTCAACGCTAACAGCGGGATCTCGTACAGAATCGTGTCAACCCAAAGACCTTTGACCAGATACTCGACGTCACCCATGTCACTGTCGCTGCCGGTATCGTTCACGGGAGTAAACTTGATTTCAATCTGTTCAGAAGGCTTGAGTTTGAACGTGGTCAGGAAATCCAGGTAAGCATCGTTGAAGTATGGACATCGAGTCTTCAAGAATTTAATCTCTTCTTCCGTGATTCGAATGTTGGCAAGTCCTACCAGAGACTATGGTCATCCCGACGCTCGCACAGTCATTCAGTAAGGCCATACATACTGTCCATTTGCTTCAGGAGCCATTTGTGGGCCCCGCGCGTTAACTTCATATGCGGAGTACGGTTCGTGAACCCGTAAGTCACGTCTATGTAGTACAACTCGTTAGGGAATTCAAACATACCACAGAAAACCCGAGATATACTCACGGACATCAGGGAAGTACTTCAGAACGGCACATTGCATCGTCAACTTGTACAAATCGGTATCAAGAAGAGAGCTAATGCCCTCGGGAATTGGAGGGGAACCTTCTTTGCCCATTATGACTTATCGAGACCTCTATAGGGGTACTAGCTGCGGTGGCTATAAGTACTAGGTGGATGTAATGCACAAGATTCAATTCAATGGGTTACAAGCCCCAGCCAAAGGAAAGAAATTGTGTAGTAAAGAAGTTTATCAGGAGCTGAAAACAGTCATATTACATTGCTGCGGGGAACTACTAAAAAGATGGTGTTTGTACTGTTTGCATTGTATAAATAATATTCGTCATGCTGCGGGGGGCTTTAATTGTTAATTACTGGCCTATTGCACTGCGAATCAACCTCTTGCCAAGCAATGTATTAGTGTTACTGGGTGGTTGTACTGATTGCGCAGCTGAGCGAAGCGAAGCTACAGTAGTAGTACCACTAGTAGTAGCATTATAGGAGGCTGCGCGAAAGGATATGGGTTCTTATTGGTCGAGAATTGAATAGTCACGTGGTGTTACTCACCGCTTTCTTGCGCTGCAATGTCTTGGGTAGATTTCTAGGTCATTTGAATCGGCTCCTCGGCAGCCGCTGCCTTCTTAGGTAAGGCAACTTGAAGAAGTAGGCCAAATATCTTTGAAAGATATTCATCAGACAAGTGTGTTGTCATGGAAAATGTATCAAGATCTAGTTATCACCAGTTGTTGCCTTATTTGTAGGGCAATGACTGCCCCGCCAGTTTGATAAGAGAATTGTGGCTAATGCATACGATCATGTGGCTGTGCAGAGTTTGTTCTTAGGCACATCGGGAGTCTTATTGTTCCGGTCGAGACAGTTGCCCCGTAGGCACCTTATCCATTATCAGCCAACGCTTGTTGCTTGTTCAACCTCCACGCTTTTTTCCCGCGTTCTGCCAGTTGCGATTACGACAGGTGCTCGCTTATGTCCCTATTTTATACAAACAAACGAGGCGTCTGCTTCTAAAACTAACTACATCAGAAACTCCGACTAGCCCGAACCACTTCAACATCAGTGGCGCATCTTAATTAAGGTCGCTTGAGAACTACATTGATATGGCGCACGGCGCTGAGGACTGTGCATCCGTGCTAGAGCAATTCGTTCATGATGTTGCGAATCTGCCAGCGGAAATCAACCACTTGATGGAAGAGATCCAGGCCAAAGACAAAACCATCCAAGAATGTCGCACTACGATCAATTCGAGAGATAATAGCTTACAAAAATTCATCAAAATGAATGGCAGTCTGACGCCGAATCCCAAAGAAGAGCAATACGGAAAGGTCATACTACAGAATCTTGACAAATCGCAACAGCTACAGGATGAGAAGATACAATTGAGTGAGAAAGCCTGCGTCTTGTTAGACCGGCAAATCAAGAAACTGGATATCAAAATTCGTGACTTGCAGAATGACGGTATTCTTTCAAGCGATCCTCCCTTGCCCTCTCTCTTCAACAACAGCGACCAATACCGAGACCCCCCAAAGATCTTTTTTCCCGACTCCGCCTCCGACTCCAATTCATACAACTCTCCCCTACATCCTACGTCCGGGAACGCCAACGTTATAATAGGCGCCACTCAGAGACTCAATCAATCTCTGGCCCGATCAGCGGGTGTGGCTGCCCTAGGCTCTCCGACTGCTGCGCGAAGCTCAGCTCCCGCAACCCCCGCCGGTGGCACAGCTCATTTTCACCAACGACAACGCGAATCATCAGCTGGCGCTGTGGAGAACAAGCGACGGCGTTTGAACCCTTCACTAGGAACGCTGCCAGCAGCATCGTCGAATCTCCGACAATCCTCTTTAGGTCCCGGCACACCCAAAGGAGGTACACCAGCCTCTAGTCGTGCTGGTAGTGCCGGGCCACGCTCATCAAGCACAACGAAAAAGGCTTTGACCAAGAAGGTTGCACCTCACCAACAATTGAAAAAGATCAAGGCATCATCTGGACTGAATGGCAAATCAACTAAACGGTCCTCCAGCGCCAGTGGCCGTATCAAGCTTACTACAAAGAAATCGCCTTCTGCCCCCGGCGGCGATGAAGACGAGGATGATTCGATGCTCAGCAGCGCTGATGTCTCAGATTCCGAGAACAACAGCGATGCCCGGCGTGGAGATGATGACATGGAAGAAGAGGAAGAAGACGAGGGCAACGAAGACACCAAGGTCTATTGTACTTGTCGCAGCGTTAGCCATGGCGACATGGTTGCTTGCGATAACGAAAATTGCGAATTTGAGTGGTTTCACTGGAAGTGCGTCGGTTTGACCAGGGAGCCTGTAGGCACATGGTTTTGTCCTCAGTGTGCAGCCAAGTTAAATAGTTGATCATACCCTCTAGTTTACCTTGATATTTAGCCTGTTATAATTTTTTTTTAAATTGATTGTCATCTCATTCGATTGAGCAATTCAATAGCTCTTGTAGATATTCAGCCTTCCGCCGTTTCATAAGGTACAAAGATTAGGCCACGAAATGAAGCAAACCGATAGCTTCTGTTAGAACCGAACCATCCGTATCCCAATTGCACTTTTAGGCCGTAAATTCCCCGCAAGAGAAAAGATAGGCCTCGACCATAGCCAATCCCAAGATTCGTGAAACGCCATCGCTATGCAAGCAAACATGACTGGCGCCGTTGCGCTCATTGTACATAAATAAAAAAGAAAATAACAAGAGGACATAGAGTCAACGGAACCTAAAACCCGAGAGCCTTTTCCAGCCAAGGGTCAAAGTATTCGCAGCTTTCTGGGCTCACGGCTCCTCCAGGAGCGCAAAGTTTAAACACTGGGCAGGTACCGCAAGGTGCCTCTGTCATGCCGTTGGTTACCAGCCGGTCTTCGATACCCTTATCCTCGCCTGCGGGCTTGCGCGCTTGCGACTGCTTAACAGCTTCCGGATTTTTGACCGACTTGTACATCTCCCCGTTGTTCAAGGCCACCAGCTTACCATCGTAACAGAGCATATCAAGGAGCTGTGTTATACTCTCTTCACCCAAACGAACGGGAGTAATTCCACTCTCGTTAACTGCACCTGTGAGCATCGATACGGTTGGATAGCCACGGTAACCAGCCGGAAAAGGAATAAATGTTTTCTGTCCAGACTCTTGTTTGACAGACACGCTACCATCGCTAGTTTTCATGCGCTTGGTTCGAGGCGCGTCTGCATTTGGAACTTCAAACCAACTCTTTCTGCTCACTGTGTACTCAATATACCCAGCGACAGTGTTGATGAAATTCTCATCGAGTACTCCGTCAGTGAACCATGCGCCACCGGTAACATCCTCACTGGGGGCAAGGCCCGCCAACATGTACATTTTCCGACTTGGGAATTTGACATTGTGTACGCTCTTGATATAGTTCTTTCCCTCCAAGGATTTAAGGCAACGGTCTAATATAGACTTGTGTAAACCGGTTCGAGTTCCGATCGCACGGACCCAGATACCGTTGCGACCAGTAGAGTGGATCACATTGTATACCAAACTTTCGTCCGGGCTCAGGTTCTGAAGTCTGACAGTAAAATTATCATGTTAGCCTATCATGTGGGAGGTCGCCCGAAAAACCCTAGAGAATAATGGCATACTTTTCAGCATCTTCCCGTGAGATGATCTTCCAAGCCAATCGGTCATTTTTGCCCTGGAGAAGGCGAAACAATTTCTGATCAACGAGCGATTGGGTGCATCGCAACAGAAGCGCAAGGTCCGACTTGGGGACTATGCCCAGACCAAGTAAGTCCTGCTGGTAGAAGAGTTGGTCAGGAGGGTAGTTGTTCAGGCAATGTTCGTAGAGCTTAGAGGCGAGCTCAGTCACTGAGGCGCCGGAGGCCCCCGCGGATGTCATTTTCAACGAGATGAAACCGAGTCAACAGACAAGTGCAATCACCGATAAGGCTTATGAAAGGGCATATTCAGAGATGCATATTAGACCAGCGTCTATCTATACCAAGGAGTGCCAAAGAATACCCGACCGGGTTGAAAAAGAGCCTGTGAGAGGAGAACTTGGCGAGTGCGACAGCGGTAGAAAAAGATGTTTTTGACGGCTTTTCCATTCCCTTTTTGCCCGTAGCGGGGAGCAGCTGCCTAGAACGGTCTAGCGCATCAGAGCTCCGACTCATCCAATTCATCCCTGCCTGAGGCACCCAATTCTTCTCGGAAATTTCGAGAAGCTCCGCAGAGCTCATTAACTGCCGCAGCTTCCCCCGTCAGCAGTCGATCTCAACTGGAGTTGATTTCAACCGGCACATCTTTTCCATTTCACTTCAACCCAACCGCTACTGAACCCTGACAGCATGGCTGACGCTCTGAAGGCAGAGGGCAACAAGGCCTTCTCTGCAAAGGACTATCCTACCGCTATGTATGGATTTTACCCCGCTTTACCTTACGTTGTCGTACTCACATCGCTTCACAGTGACAAATTCACCCAGGCTATCGCAATCGAGCCCGAGAACCACATCCTTTACTCCAACCGTTCTGCAGTGTACTCTGCCCAATCCGAATACGAGAAAGCTCTCGAAGATGCCAACAAGGCTACGGAAATCAAGCCAGATTGGTCCAAAGGCTGGCAGCGTAAGGGAGCTGCCTATCGCGGTCTTGGAGACCTTCGTGAGTGATGGCTTGACTTGGGTTGCTTCATCATCAAGTGTCACTAACAGACTTGTAGTGGCTGCTCACGATGCGTACGAAGAGGCCCTCAAAATCGAGCCCGGAAACGACCAGGCTAAGTCCGGTATGAATGCCGTCAAGAGGGCTATTGATGCTGAAGCTCAGGCAGACGGTGTCACTGGTGATCCTCTGGGCGGACTTGGTGGTATTTTCAACGACCCTCAGCTTTTCCAGAAGCTGGCCAGCAACCCAAAGACCTCTCCTCTCTTGGCAGATGGCGAATTCATGGCTAAACTGCAGCGCATCAAGCAGAATCCGAATAGTGTCGGTGAAGAGATCAAGGATCCCCGCTTTTTGCAGGTCATGAGTGTTCTGCTGGGCATTGACATGAGCTTCGGTGCTCCTCCGGAAGGCGCTGCCTCCTCTAGTGCCGCGGAACCCCAAGAAGACGTGCCAATGCCTGATGTCCGTCCCACCGCCTCTGGGGCAAAGAAGGAACCCGAACCTCAGCGTGAGCCCGAGCCTGAGGATGAGGAGGCAATCGCAAAGAAGAAGGCTCAAGAGGCGGGAGATGCCGAAAAGAAGATTGGTAACGACTTCTACAAAAAGAAGCAGTTCGATGAGGCCGTTCAGCACTACGAGAAGGCCTGGGAGCTGAACAAGGATATCACATATCTCAACAACATTGGCGCCGCTAAGTTCGAGAAGGGTGATCTTCAAGGTGCTATTGAGATTTGCCAAAAGGCCATTGAAGAAGGCCGTGAAGTTAGGGCTGACTTCAAAACCATGGCCAAGTCTTACACAAGAATCGGCACAGCATATGAGAAACTTGGCGATCTCACTCAGGCAATTGAATACTATAACAAGTCGCTCACCGAACACCGAACCCCCGACGCCCTTACAAAACTCCGCAACGCAGAAAAGACCAAGGCTAAAACTGAGAAGGAAGCCTATATCGACCCAGTTGAGGCTGAGAAGGCTCGTGAGCTTGGCCAAAAGAAGTTCCAGGAGGCTGACTGGCCTGGCGCTGTCGACGCCTTCACTGAGATGACGAAGCGTGCTCCCCAGGATCCCCGAGGTTTCTCCAACCGTGCCGCAGCTCTCATCAAGCTTATGGCCTTCCCTCAGGCTGTTCAGGACTGCGACGAGGCAATCAGCCGTGATGCCAAGTTCATCCGTGCTTACATGCGCAAGGCACAGGCTCTGATGGCTATGAAGGAATACAACAAGGCTTTGGATGCTTGCACTGAAGCGCAGGAGAATGATGATGGAACCCATGCCCGTGAGATCGATCAGCAACAGCAGAAGTGTTTGGAGGCTCAATTCAGCTCTCGTGCTGGCGAGACCGAACAGCAGACCATGGAGAGAATCCAGAATGACCCAGACGTAAGTGGTGCCAACTGTGTTTGCCAACTTTAGATTATACTAACCCTCGACAGATCATGGCTATCCTTCAGGATCCAGTTATGCAGAGCATTCTGCAGCAGGCCAAGAGCGACCCTGCTGCTCTGCAGGAACACATGAAGAATGCACAGGTCCGCCTTAAGATCCAAAAACTGATGGCTGCTGGTGTCATTCGCATGGGACGGTAAACGAAAACCCGTGGCTGTAAGGGGATAAGTACGATGGGATGAATTGATACGACAGTAATCTGTTTTCGACTAAAATGAAGGCCAGCTTATGAATTGATGCATTTTCAGCTATATTTCAATCATAGTGGTATATTGTCCTATCTTGATTATGTTCCACTGGAATGCCTTATCTGCATTCATGTTGCGCCTAAGTAGGTGCCTGAGTATTCACTACCCTGCCGTTTTAGGCAAAATCTCCACAGCGCCCGGCGGTAAAATCAGGCAAATAAAGGGATCAGGAGCAGAGAGATAGTGAATAGGAAAGCCTAGCTAGGGTATATAAGTCAGAAATAGCCCCTAGATAATTTGGAGTGATGAGCCAGTTTCTATCTCATATTTTCAATACATGTCGAACAGCAGTATATCCTGTTATGGCCTGTTATGGCCTGCGAAACTTTTGCGTGCAGATAATTGTCCCATGCGATTTTGCTTGCATCGTGGGTGATCGGTAACCATAGTAGTATTAGTGTTAGCTTTCGTAGGAAATATTGAAGGGAAGGGTAAATTCGGCCCATTCTTTGACAATGCCGTGCGAATGTAGATATACATCTTTAATAGACGTTTAAAATTTTAGTGTGGTGTGGCCTCATACCATACCAGTGCCGAATATATAAATATGCATTTGATATACTTTTGCTGATGAAGAGAACCTTAACCATTGCCCTTGCTCTTCTTCCCTTCCTTTTTTCTTCTTTTTTCTTCCTTTTTTTTTTTTTTTTTTTTTTTTTTTTTTTTTTTTTTTTTTTTTTTTTTTTTTTTTTTTTTTTTTTTTTTTTTGTGACTGTTCTTTACAAGTGTATTATCCCTACTTTGCCCTAATTCTACGAGTCGTCACTTTGGGAGAATTATACAGTAACAAGATATATCTAGAATCATTGGTCAATGTCCCCGACTTGATTCAAGGACAACCAACAAAATTTCCGGATAGGCCGATCATTAACAAGTGGAATTACACGTCAACCCGTGTATATTACCAGACAAGGAACTGATAGTAGGTGCGCCTAATCAGAGTGCCAACCCTTCTTAGGGCTTGGCTGCTGACTGAACCTCTCAGCCGCACGTCTAGTAGCTGAGAAAACAAATGTGTTACGAGTCACGACCGACCCATTTGAAAGACAGATTCTACCACAAAAAAAAAAAAAAAAAAAAGAAAGAAAGAAAGAAGGAATAAGGGTCTCAGAATCCCGGATCGATTTCCACGACCAGAGATAGGCCGAAAAAAATTTCAACATTTGATTTTTGGTAGACTAGAGGTTCACAGATCGGAGTCGTACGTACACCTTTCCCAAGAATGACATACATCCTCCACTAGGCGGCATTTTAGTTCACTGCGAAAATGCAGTCATTATGCAAGTCGGTCTGGTTATTTGGTTGAAGGAGAACGACCCAACGTGTTTGTGCGATCAGCGTGTCTGGCCCACACTAACGAACCATGGATTATTGCGTGAGTCGATTATGGGTTGCGCTAGGATCGTACTGAGTAAAAATTGTGTGAGTTGGGATGTCTTGGTAGCGACTTGACTACCTTAGTTCCTAGAGGTTGGTCTGGCCGTGGGTACTATTCCGGAGTAATTTAATTTTTCATTTTTTTTGAATTATTTTTTTTTTCGGCATAATTTTCCCCAGCCCCCCTTTTGTCTGTGGCGGCTGTAGGATAGATAGGGTGGGCGATAATGGAAGACGATCGAGTAAAAATTTCATATGGAGTCAGTTGGCATTGATAACTTACGTCTGTCTTTTGTGAGACATATAGCAGTCAATGCTGCTTAAGATTTTAAATCGAATTGATGAGCAAACCTGTGGCAAAACACGGGTGGTAGTGCGAAGACCGTGCAGATCCTAGGTCAAAGCTGAATAAGGTTGAATGGGAAGGCCAGCAAGACAGTTGCATTTACACAGTATAGATCCAAGGACGAAATAGAAGTGGTATTGGCCTATTAATGTACATAGTACATACAGGAAGCTTGACGTAGGGGGGATCTGTCACATGGCAGTTCAATTAGGGTTTATCTTGAGGTATATCTATACATAGTATGTCGATGATGATGTAGTAAGTAGTAGCATACAGCTTCTCTACGGTAAACGAAGCAGTTGTTGTGTCATCTGCACAGTATGTACCAAACCACAGCTTTTACTGCATGCCACGTGTAACCTGGCACTGGCGCAATTTTCTTGGTTTTCAGTCTCAGATCGGAAATATTTCCGAATCGTGCAATCTCCTCAGTCCTCGAGCAATTATTTGCTGCAGTGACACTCAGTGTACTTGACCTTCTACCTACTCGTAGTAGTATGGAACTTGAACCACGTGAAAGTGGATGATACTATCAATCACGCTTAAGGAATTGAGCGAATCATGAATGACAAACCACTGTCGCGATTGTTCCGAGGATCGGGAAAGGGGGAACACTACTGTGTTGATGGGTTCCACCCTCCTGCATGCTAGTCTCCTTACTAAGTGGATAATCGGTCACTGGTTTGGAGTGAATAGCAGTTGCTTGGCAGGGCTGTCCCAAGGTAATATTACTACTGGTAGTCCAGGCACCGAAGAACTCAGTACGGAGTACAAGTACGAACAGAAGTACATAGCACACCGGCGATGACTGCATGT